AGGCAGCATAATGTAGGACTTGAGAAGCTCCAGGTCCCCAGACTCCATTAAGAGGCTGATTAAAATTTGATGCTCCCATTTAACACCTATTAGCAAACACAGTGCCCTCCTGCTAGGAGCAAGAACTTGGAAGCCTGGGTCTCCCCAGATCCCAGCAGCACCCTTCATGCCAGGGTGGCAACCATTACCTGAAAGAAAGATAAGCAGAAGCGGATGAGGAGAGAAGGGAGGGAAAGGTGTAGAAACTAACTTACAATGAACCAGTTCTTCTTGAACCTTGAGACAGGAAAGAGCATTGTCCCCAAATGCAAATGCCCCACAGTCAGCAGTAAAACAAGGCCCAGTTAAGAAACTGGCATCGGAGAAGTCGCCCTGTTGCCCTTCAGGGACTGAGAAGCCAACATCCTTTGTTCTTGACAGAAACATAACCATGAGAAGACACAGCAAAGGAATGGATATCGTTGAGATATAGATGCTCCACATGGAATGAATTACATCTGTATTCTCAAGGCCAGCTCTGGGAATTCTGCTCAAATGCCCACAGTGGGAAGGGGAGCCCAAAGGGACTTTGGCAATCCTTCATCTCTACCTCCCAAAGCATACTGGCTTAGGGGCAGAACAAGTTAAATACGGGGAATGGGAAAGCGATAACCAGGCCAACGCTGAGTGCTTACTCTGTGCCAATACGTGACATGCATAAGCTCCTCTTCGTGCCAGGCTCTGGCACACAATTAGTGAGTTTCTACCCTTTGGGAGAATATAATTTCACCAACAGACACACCTGAAGATACATCACAGTACAAAGCATTGTTAGGAGGAGCACAGAACTGTGGACCAGGTCACCAGCCTGAGAGAAGCTGCATGAAAAGCAACTGAAAGTTGCATGATCCTTTTTAACATTTTACCGAACACGGGATTGCCCTCCTGGTAGGAGAAATAACCTCGAAGACAGAATTCCCCAGTGGAGGGTAGGCCTGGCCAATCACATCTGCTCTTGAACCCCAGCATCTTCATCCTCAAGCTGAAGATACTCAGAAAGCAGGACTGTTGTAGGGATTAGGTGATGCACTCAGGGATGTGTTTATAAATGGTTTATGACTGGTGATGCGCCTATGAGTGGCCAGTGGCTTTCAGCCACAGCCTGGCAATGACGGACAAGACTTATGGGAAGATGCTGCCCATCTAAGTTACTTTTCCTGATGCCATGATTTAAAAATAAAGCACCCCAGCAGAAGCTAAGGGAGAAAAGGGCTTGTTTCGGCTCATCATTTGAGGTAACAGTCCATCATGGTGGAGAAAGTACAGCAGCAGGAGGGTGAGGCAACCAGTCGTATTTTATACAATGTCAAGAAGCAAGAAGCAACGGATGCTTGTGCCCCTTTTCATACCATCCATCACAAATCTGAACCCTCTTCTTTTCCCTCATACCTGGGACAAATACATGGCCAGCCCTCAGCCCCAAAGATGTACCTGGGCTTGCAGGAGCTTGTATGGTCTCCACACCACCCAGGCATCAGAGTAGATCTATCTGGTAGAAGGTGAAGCCCAATTGGGCCAGAAAGAATGCATTCTCCTGGATTGCTAGACATGTAGCTTCTCAAAAAAAGGACCACTGTGTTTCACCAGGCATAGGGTGACAACAACATGTTGTCATCGATAGTTGTGATGTAAACTGGGAGAAGAGGGGCTGAGTCCAGTGGAGAGGGCTCCCCTGAGAGCTGTGTGGCCAACAACCAAGGACACCAGCGAGTGCTTCTGAGTAGCACAAAGAAGAGGTGGAACTAATTGCTAGGGAAGGGGTCCTGGCAGTCAAGGAGTTAGATTCTCTGGAATTGCAACATTATGTTCTAGAGACTAGAGCCACCCAGCTTGCCCTCTGAGGCTTCCTTCCAAACAGGCAGGGGCCCAGTACTCAGGAAGGAAGACCAAGAAAAAGAGCCCCTCTGTGCTTGAAGACTGTCTCAACCACAGCCACCATGGCCTCCCTGGCCCCAGCTCTCCCCACCTCCTTCTCTACCCTGCCTCCCTCTCTTTTGTGCTCTCCTCAGAAGCCTGCTTTGTAACCAGGGGCCCTTAAGAATGCCCTCTCAGACTCTGGGCTTTTCCAGCTCACAACCCCAGCAGGCTATCCAGGTGAAAGAGAACGCATAGCTCAAGATCAAAGGTACTCTCCATCACCTGCCAGCTGTGCAGCCTGAGGCAAATGGCTTGCTTTTTCTGACTTTGAATTTTTTTTTTTTCTATGAGATCCACAAGCTCCTTTTGTAGCGTGGGCAGTGGGACAAAACAAAGTAATGTGTATAAAATTCCTGGCCCAGTGCCTGGCTCATGGTGGGTCCTCAATAAGCGGTCCTTTCCAGTCCTACATTACAGACAACATTACAGAACCACCGCCAATCACAAAGTGTGACATCACAAGGTATGATGGTCCATAAATGGCACTCCACTAGGCATCTGTGGCCTTACTGATGGCCTCTCTTCTTCTCCATCTTCATCTTCTTGCTCCATCCCCACTGCTCTTGCCTCCATTCCGCCTCCCACCAACTGTTCCTCCATCTGTTGGGACAGTTCCTCCTTGGTCCCTCTGCAGTGATCAGGTGATGCTTCCTGAATGTCCCTTGGGATGTAGGAGGGTTCCCCACTCCCACCTCCTTCTCTCCAGATCACAGTTCACAGTCATGCCCCTAAGCCACAGGCTGCAACCCCCCTGCTTAGAAGACTGGCCCCTGCCCTGCCCCAGTACCTGGTCTAGGTAATACCTTCACAGACATAGAGACCATGCCACCCTCCTTGACAAAACCTTCCCTTGTACCCCAAGTGGACATTTGTTTCTTTCTCTGTGTGAGTAAAATTTATGTATTGTTGACCAAATCCAGCCCAGATGTTTGGCCAATAACCCACAAGCTAAGGATGATTTTGGTACTGTTTTGGTTTGGGTTGGGTTCTTTGTTGTTGTTGTTGTTGGTAGCTATAATGATAGGTATTTATTTGTTTGTTTGTTTGTTTGTTTTGTGTTGTTGTTTTCTGTGCTGGCCTTCAAGGGCTTCAAGCATGCTAGGCAAGCACTCCCCCACTAAGTTATACACCCAGCCCTGGTTTTGACACTTTTAAGAGTTTGAAAATAATAATAATAATTAAGAAGAAGAAAAAGGAGAAAGAAGAAGGAGGAGGAGGAAGGAGTAGAAGAAGAAGAAGAAGAAGAAGAAGAAGAAGAAGAAGAAGAAGAAGAAGAGAGGAGGAGGAGGAGGAGGAGGAGGAGGAGGAGGAGGAGGAAGAGGAAGAAGAGGAAGAGGAAGAAGAAGAAAAAGGAGAGCCTAGTATGGTGGCTCATGCCTGTAACCCCAGAATTCAGGAGGCGGAAGCAGAAGAATCAGTATGGGTTCAGGACCATCTTGGTCTACACAGCAAATTCCAAAGCGAATTCCAGGCTGCAGAGTGAGATCCTGTCTCAAGTAATCCACAGAACATCTGTAACATGGCTGCACACACTCCCATAGTTATTGTCCAAGGCTACTTTGCACAACAGTGGTAGAACCAAGTCATTGCAACAGAGATCACATGACCTGGGAGGTCTCAACACTTACTCTTTGGCCCTTGGCATAGCAGGAAAGCTTGCTGTCCCTTCTCTATGCTGCAGTTTTTGTTGTCCATTGGGAAACTCCTCTTCCACGACCCCAGCTCCCATAGACAGGGATCACGTCATTCCCATTTTCCTCTTCCCCTCCAGCCCCATTGATGTTAGTCTCCCAGAGACCCTTCCCAAAGCAAAGCACAGAGATAAACTGCAGCCTGATGGGCTAGGATGACTCGCTTAAGAGCACGCAACTAGAAAGGAGCAGAACCAAGTGGCAAGTCCAGAAGTTTGCCCCTGCAAGCTTGACACTCTCCCTTCATGCTGTCTCATGTTGTCTGTACATGGTACCCAGAGAAGACCTTAGCTCTGGTGGGGGAGGCTGGGATTCCTTCAGTGATGGAATCCTGAGACCGGAGATAACTCCCCAGGAATGTTTGTTACATGGGGTTTATGAGCAGCATTTGTCTAATAAAGTCATTTCTGAACATCTCACATCCTCTAATGACTTGTCACAATAATGGAAGGCGTCTCCCCGCTTGCTTGTCTTTCCCCGTGCTGGCACAGCTCGGGAGCTCTCGGGCCTGAGAGGCGGAGATAAATATAGCTGTTCTTTACTTACCAGTTGGGTTGCCTGAATGCACAACAATATACATTGTCACCTGACACATGTCAAATCCGCACACATGCTCACAGAAGCCACTCTGCTTACGTCACAGACATTTCCCAGGGGCACAGGTTTGTCGAATACAGTCCCAGCTCCGAGCTTGGACCATTTGGGGGTTACTGGGAGACAGGTGTGGGTTATCTCAGAAGGTATTTTTTCTAATGAGGATGTGCTTAATGGTGCTCTGTCCAGGACATTGTTTCACTAGAACAGGACAAAGTGGCCTCTGGTGCTCCCATAGGGTTCAAGCCTAAAACATTCTATACTTAACAAATGTTCAACCACTTTTCCCTCCACCCCAGGAGCTCAGATTGGAAGTGCAGAAGAGCTGAGTGTGGCTGGGGGTGTGGAGGCAAAGCAGATCTCTTATGCAACATTTTTACAGATGTCCTCACATTCAACCATGGCTTGCCTCCCATCTCTGTCTCTCAAGAGATCAGAAGTAGAACCATGAGGTGGTGACAAACAGAGTCTCCATTCTTCAATCCTAGGCTCACATGTCCCCCCTACCTCAGCCTCCTCAACTTATTCTCTGTGTCAACTCCCAGAACCTCCTCTCAACCTCATTCAGAGCCTTCATTTCTTATATTATAGTCTGGAATTCCCAGCTAAATCTTCCAACATGAGCATCTGTCTATGTGTTCTCCCTCTTTTCATTGTGTACATGCATGGAACTACCCCAAATTTTCCCAAAACCAACCTTACACCACTATTTTCCAGACCAACAGAAAAACAGCCCCTCCCCTAGGCAAATTCCCTTACCTGTCATAGCCTTGTTCATAGGGTTCTTCTCTTTGAATGGTCAAATGGTATTCCACCAACTCATACCAGTAGGCTTTGTTCCTGGAGTTCTAGGTCTCCCCTACTCTGAAGGAGTTTTAGGGATCCCCAGGGCTTAAGTGTGTTCTCAGCACTAGCCCCTGAACTCACTCTACTTAGGTACAATACACCAGCATTTTTCAGACCTGAAGATTGACTATAATAAGCTTTGTACAGCCAATGATAACGCTACTTGAAACAAATAGGGAGAGTGGGTCTACTCACTGTAGACATCTCCCATAGCAATTTCTTGTTTCCCAACACTTCTCACGGCCACCTGGCTCCACCTGAGGTGCCCCATGCAGTGGTTTTTCTCTTGCTGGTTACTTCAGAAGATAATGCCTCCTCTCTTGCATCTTTCCCCCTCTGTTTTCTTCTACCCCTGACCAAGCTGAAGTTCCTGCAGCACCTTGGCAAGCCTAGAAATCAAAGTTGAATATAGAAAGATCTCAACGTGGGCTGAAATTGCATCTCTGCTGACTGGTAGTTATGTAATCTGGTGCACACCAAACCTCTTTTGGGTGCAATCTCTTCATTTGGAATATAAGGATAGTAACATCTACCTCTAGTAGACAACTGTCATTTTTGCTGACCCGGCAAGGAATCTCCCATTTTCTAGTATCAACATCATACTTTTCCTCTAAGGAACCCACAGCATTCTCCTTCCTAGTGCGTAAGGTTGAAATGGGGATTATTGTTTACTTTCTTCAATGCTGTGGTCAAATGCAAAACAAGGAACAACTTAAAGGAGGAGACGCACACCTCCCCTTTTCTACTCAACCACCTTTGGGTCCTCTTTTATCTATGTGTTCATTTATTGTTTTGCATCCCTTAACTCCACCTATTCTGGGGTGTGTGGCCTTCCACTGGAGCATGCTCAACTACCAGGAACTGTAGAGAAAACGGATTCTCCCTCTCCTAGCAGCCATCAATCGCCAATAGTTTTTTGGTGAGCAGTGAGACTTTGTGCCCATCTCTGGTCCCCACTTTGGAATTTGAGCTGGACTGATCTTGCACGGGTCTTGTGCATGCCGCCACAACTGCTGTGAGTTCAGTATGTGTGGATGGATGACCTGCTTATTCAGAAGACACCATGTCCCATAGTCATGCAACGCCTCTGATCCTTACACTCTTCCTGCCCCCCTCTTCTACAGCAATTCCCTGAGCCTCAGAGGTGAGGGTATGACATCAAAGACCCATTTAGGGCTGAGCTTTTCTGATGAGGGTTGAGAGGTGCATTAATCCATGGGTATAACAATAAGTTATTAGGAGTCAGTCTAAATCTGCGCCCATTTAACAGATTACAGAATAATAGTAGTACATTCTCCCTTAGCGACTGTCACCTGTCCAAGTCACAGGTTCTTGACCCAATAATGGTGTGCCAGGGTGTGTGTATCATCTTGTGGAGCAGGACTTAAATTCAACCAGAAAGTGGTTGGATTTCCTCCTTTACGAATTAATACAAAAGCAGAATTCGTGTCTATGGCTGCTGATAGCCATCTCTGCCACCACATGCCTGTTTGAGAAAGAAGCCAGTTCAGAGTAAAAGGGAAGTGAAAACCTGAGAGGTTCTTGAGGACATCGGTCAAGGGCCTGGATCTAGCCATGTCCGAAGTTCATGAGTGAACTGTCCAGTGACGAAAGCCGATAAACTCCCTCTTCGGCTTCAGCTAGCTTGAGTTGGATTTCTTTCAGTGGTAACTAAAAGGACTGACTAATACACTACCTCAGGGCAGTTTTCAAAATCAAATGAAACAGCATATACAATCACCTCACAGACAACTGGCACATAATAGGAACTCATTAAATATTAGTCACCTTCCCAACCAGAGGAAACGAGGAAATGCCAGTGGACACAAGACTGAGAACACAAGAAAGATGCATAATCAACAGAACAAGAGCCTGGGGGAGCTGGGAAGGGACGAGATCAAAGTGAGGTGGAAGGCTTGGTCTGAGCTGGGAAAGGGACTTTCTTCCTTGAGGGCAGCTTGAAGAAACCATGGAAAATTAATAAAGATCAAGAGGGCGCTGGGAGGCTGGAGGAGCTCAGGTGAGACAGCCCCGTGTCCTCTGGGCTAGAGTCGGGGTCTTCCGCAGAGTGGGGAGCATAAGTAGATTCGGAGGGTTAAGGATTGTCGGGGTTGGCTCATCAGCCACAGCCACTAAAAGGAGAAAAATGGAAGGTGGGCACAGAGCAAAGGGCCCGCCACCCATGGCTATGTTGATAAATTCAGGCCTTTCTGTTTTTCTCTAATGTTTCTTTGGCCCTGGTTTTTTACTACCTCATAAGGTCTTTTTTTTTTTTTTTTTTTTTAAGCAACTCACTGTATCTGGCTTCCCAGGCAACTAGTTCAAAGATGCCCAAGCTCAGGCATCTTCACCCACAAAACACACAGCCCTTGTCTGGGAAGGAAGTGCTGCAGAGTACATCCCACCCCCTACACCTCTCCTGCTTTTGTTAGAGAAGGAGAACTTGGTTCCCAGCAGACGCTACTCTTCCACAGAAGTTCTGTCTATGATCCTGGGGTTTGCTTTGCTGCCAATATTTCCCTTGCTCCTAAGACTTACCTTCTCACTACCCCAGGACTCCGCTTGAAGTCAGCCATGTGGTCTCAAGCATCACCAAGACCAGCATCCAAGCAGATTGTTCTTAATGTCCCCTTTGGATTGCTCCTTCTTTTCTCTAAATTAGAGGCTAGCAAACTTTTTTCTATAAAGGGCCATACAATAAATAGTCTAAGCTTTCTGGAACACAGAAATAGTAGACACAGCTAAATAGTAAACTCTGAAGCTGTGGAACAAAAGCAGCTAGAGAGAGCATGTGAACAAAAGAGCATGGCTAAGTTCCAATAAAACTTAATTTATGGGCATTGAAATCTGAATTTCATACAGTTTTGATGTATCATGAAATATTATTCCTCTTTTGGATTTTCAACAAAACATTGCAAGTTGTAAAAAAACAAAAAACCCAACTCATAGGCCATGCAAAAATAGGCAGTGAAACAGATTTGGCCCATGGGCCATAATTTGCCAGCCCTTGTCCTAAACCACAGCCGCAATGGCTGTCATTCATCACATTCCTTCTCCATCCAGGACCCACTTCTGGCTCCTTATTTAATTGTCACTGAAGTCTTAGTAGCTTTGTAGGATTATCCCTGCTTCAGAATGTAGAAAACTTGCATTTCAGGACGCTTTAGTGACCTGCTTTGGACTCTACAGCCCGTAAGTAGGCAGCTGGGGTTCCACATCCCTCTGCTCCATCCCACTGCTCACAAAACCTCTCACATCTTTCCAAGCCTTTTTCCTGAAGGACACCCTACTAGTTTGATCTGTATTTATTTGTAAGCTTGGCTTGGTTCCCTTACAAAGGACAAGCTTCCTACCTGAGGACGTGAGTGTTTCCACGTCTCTCCACATACTGCCTACGCTGTGGCCAGCCCGTTTTAGCCACTCAAAAGAGAAAGCCACGCGGTGTGTTTGTCACTGTTCTTTCAGTTCAACACTTCAAGCCTCAAAGGGGCTTCAATGCTGCCCAGAAACCCCAGCATTTTTCCTAGAAATTTCTGTCTCTCTCTGAAATAAGCACTGAATGCCTCCTCTTCTTTATGTCTTCTTCCTCAATACTCTTCCCAGTAATTCAACCAACCCAACATACCTTGCATTCAGTCTCTAGTCTCCCTTTCACAATTCTGCAAGAAGAGGCCATGGCTTAACTGCTATCCCTGTTTCATGAAGCCCATCAGGATCAGGTTCTGATTTCCCCCAACCCACATCCTTTTCCCACTTTCTCTCACACTCAACCTCCTACCCCAGCCTCACCAAGACTGTTGTCCTTGAACAGACAAAGCACATTTGCAACCTGGGGCTCCACCCCTTCCTCCCCTCCCTCACTCAACTATCTGCTTCATTCCTTCCTTTATGTGGCTTCAGGGCCAAGTTCCCTTCCTAAGAAAACTCTCTGAGCTAACTGACCACCATTTTTTTCCCTGATTTTCCATTTCAACTTCGCTTTATTCTTTCTTCCAAGGTCTTACTTTCTGACATACACCATATATATATATTTGTCTATATGCTTCATTTGTGCCCACCCAGTGATGGTGAGAACTCAGCCAGGGCAAGGACTCAGTCTGATCAGCTCAGAGATGGATCTTTAACCCCTAGAACAGGGTCCATCCAACAAACACAGAACAGTTTTGACTGAGCTAAGAAGATCCAGAAATCCCCAAAGAGCTTTAGGGAAACTATTTCTTTAAATGTCCTGTCACTAAAATGTCTTCTCCTTGTATCCCAGAAGGCCTCCTTTCCTGGCCCTAGAGAAGAGTGATTAGAAACTCATAAAGATGTTACACAAAGCATCTTTGTTCTTCCTTCTCCATCTGCCTCTGCTCTGGACAGCATTGCCAGAGCCTGCTGGCACTTGAGCTGCTTTTGAGGCCCTGTAAACTTTCTTTAACTCGGGAAGCCCAGAGTCCTGCTAGAAACCAACAGTGCAATTACAGGCTTTTAAACTGCCAGGTTCCTTCGCTCTCATTCTCCCTGGGGGCCCCTCTGAAGCAAGATTGTGTGAGGCCAAGGAGGGAGAAGGTGAGAGCACTCTTCACTAGAGAGGATGGTGTCTCCAGACAGTGCAGCAGCTGTTTGCCAGGGGTAGCCTGGAGGGCTAATCTAAGCTTTCATGATAATAGGGAGGGTTTATTCTCCAAGTCAGAACCTTAAACTGATAGGTGTGATTAGAGGGCTCTGCCAGCCCAGGAACAGTTGGATACAGGGCACGGAGGCACTGGGTTCAGAGTTAAGTCCATTTCCTTAGCAGAGAAGCCTGGAGTTGGCCCTACCTGATCCTCCAGCCGCATCCCCAAGGATGCCACCTGGGGCCCTGAACACATGCCTGTCCACGAGGCACCTGTTGGGTGACAAAGATTTTATTGGTTTGTGTGTCGATAGCTTCTTGGGGACTCAGTGACTAGTTTTCAGATCCCTGGAGTGGGTACTTAATCAGTATGTACTGGATAAAGAAACTGCACAGAGGTGAGAGGTCTGCAATGCATAGAAAAAGGGTTCCCAACAAACCAGCCTTGTATGAACCAATATGAGGAAAACTGGCAAGAGAAGAGCTCCCCTCATCTTAGCTCAAAGCTACCAATCACATTCTATAATGTGGTTCTATAACCACAGGGCCCAATGTCAACAGTGGACCATTCTGATCTCTGTTTGCCCCTTAGAACGAATACACTTTCACCAGGGAATTTAGCCACCTGGGAGCAGAGATGAGCAGCTGATCTTCTCTGAAAGCAGAGGATACCAAAACTGGAGAGGAGTTCATGGCTCTTCTGATCCAACCTCCAAAGTCACAAACACAAGAGGTGGCTATCCAGACCTCTGTGGTACAGTATCC